CAGCCACTAAACATCAAGAATTTTATTCTAAAGTAAATAGGAAATCTTTATTCAGGATACAAAATGGTTTGTTAATAATACGTTAACCAGGGTTATAATTTTGAGCAATATGTTCCTACATAATAACTTTCACAATATGGCTATTTCAACTGCCAATCTGTACCATGGAAAAAAATGAAGCATTACTTAAATTTTTACGGTCAGAATATGTACAACCTTCTGAAATCAATAGAAGAATGAAGGTCCTGCAGATAGTTTTTTTAATTCGTGGTAAATGTAAAAAGGTTTAACCTTCCAAGGGTTATGGACATAAAATCCTGTATCAAAGAATGGTTTTCCTATTCATTACGCATGAAAATTTCTGCCAGATCCTGATCTATTCCACCTCAAGTTGGATGAATATTTAGGGTTCATAGCCACATTTTAGTTAAAAAAATAAGCACTTTTCAAGCACATTTTAAGAAAAAAAATAAGCACCTGTCTAATTACGTTATACACAACTGCATAACCTTAAAAGAAAAATAAGACTTGTAATTTAAAATATGAGAAATTCAGTATTTATTAAGAGAGAATGAGCATTACTCAGCCATGGAAAACAATTACATACTTTTTTTAAATTTTAAATAACAGTTCAATTTACAGAACTAGTTTACAACGAGAGAAAGAAAACTATGCAGAACTAAACTATATTACAGGTTTTAATGATGAAATTTCAGTTCAAAATAGAGGAAATAAATAATAATAAGGCATATTTATTCTATTCGCTTGGAACTTAATAATAAATAAAAAATTTATTTTCCACTCATATTGATATTTAACTAATTTAAATCTAAATTCTGAACACTTTCTAAATTTTCACAGTAAAACTCTTTTAAGTGTTCATAAACAAATCTCGGACCTAACATCAAAATTAATTATCTCTACAAAATATCGTTTGCGCAATAGCAATATGTGCGCCGTAATTCTTCCCTACATGATATTACGCAATCTGAATCAACAGCTGCCGGTATTGGGAGAATAAAGAACTAAATAAAGGAAAAGAAAGAGACTTACCAATCTAGGGTGTGTTTCATTTTAATTTTCAACAGACTGCGTTAAATTTCCGGAATAGAATCATTCTTCCCTTAGGTTGGTAGACCACAGAACGTTTAGTCCTATTCAGCCCAGATTGGAAAGTGACAAAAAGAAAAGAAAAAGAAAGAAAGAAAAGGGTCTGTTGCTTGTTTTGCAGCGAACTGTAACAGTTTCAATATTCGAGATTTTGTGAAGAAAGGGGAGAACTCCCAAACTTCGTACTGTATAATGTACTGGCCAAAAAAATGAAATTATTTTGACTATTTGATTACTTTCCCTTTATTTACGCCATTCCGAATATTATTCCTTAGAAAGCTAATCTGTGTTAACACACAACCATTTTTGGAAGTTTACTGCAGTTACAACAACTATGTTATTATTAACATTCATACATATAATATAAACATAACAATCATAATAAACACGAATATGAACTGACCAAGCGGAACGAGAATGCAAAGTATTAAGATCTTGATAGAAATTCAAACATGTGTAGTATTTGGGTGGGAGGAAAAGAATGCTGAATGTACCGGAATTTTCTACTGCTTTTGCAATTCTTTGACCAACAGAACGATGGGCACCTGTCTGTACTCTCCGTGCACACCAAAGGTTATGTTAATGCAAAGAAAGGGGGAAAAGCTATTTCCGGGAGTATGACTCACCATCTGACATTCCATATTAGGAAGAAAAGTTGTTTATTTAGTTTCGGCTTTGGTACGGGGAAAAATTGCGCGTTCATTTAAAAAAAAAAGCACTAAAAGCAAAAAATAAGCACTAAAAGCAAAAAAATATAAGCACTAAAAACAAAAAAAATAAGGGCTTTAAAGAAAAAGTAAGCACCTATAAGGGCCTTTATATTTTATTTTGAAATATAAGGACTTATAAACACTTATAAGGACCGCTACGAACCCTGATATTGCACGAAAAGGAGTCAAGGTACAAAATGAGAGGATCATTTTGGAATTATAATGAAAAAAATTCCACTCATTCATGATATTTTAGAGAACTTTGAATTTTCAGGGCCAAACATGTAATGCTCAGAGGGTTAAAAAGATAACAAAATAACCACTGCATACAAACAGAGAGAGCTATTCACATGGCAAGGGAGACAGTGAAACAGCAGATTGAACAGTAGGCAGGTCTGCAATGCTCATAAACATATATAGCTGTAGATTTATTAGAAGCATCATAAGATTAATTAAGATTTATTAGAAGTAAGACATTATACTCTTGAAGATGCTTTTCTGTACACAATAAAGGTTCTAGATGCATTATTACGAACCAAAGAACAAAAGATAACCGATGCAATGGAAATATTATTCCTACTCACGAAAGGATTCCAGATAGAGGCTACTCATAAATAAGAAATTTGTACTGAGAATTGTTTGGGCCCTATATTGATGCCCTTCTAAACAAGCTGAAGCTTGTAGTACAATTAAAATACATATGTCCATCAAAAAGGAATGTACTGTTGCCAACCTCTATTTAGGAACACATATAATAATTACACAATGTGCCCTGAAGTTTGAGAGGCTGAAATATCTATTATTTATTCTAATCTTGACATCAGCGATTTTTCACTTATTTGGACCTCAGAAAAAATACCTGTGAAATCAAAAGTTTGTAAATAACAATAGGGTAATAGAAGCAGCCTGAAATGATCCAAATGTTATGAAGCACACACATTCCGTCTTAAAATAAGATGAAATGATTTAAGTATTCTTGTAAAAAATGCTTTTATAAAAATTCCTGTTACTTAGTAACTGTATTATCAACATTCTCACAATAAATTTCAAGCATAAATTATTCAGTTCACGACCTGAAAACATAAATGGGATAAAATTAAAAAGACAGATTTGAAATTCTACAAATGAATAAATACAAATACTTTAATTTCAAAGGCCATATATCAATTAAATATCAAACTTAATAAACAAAGAAAAATACTTTAAGAAAAGACATGTTTGTGCAAATCTCAAAACAAAAAATTTGTTCTCAAAAACCCCTCTGTCACTTTTTTCAGTACTGGTAGCAATATTTTTAGATTTAGAACCATACCACAGATTTGCCACCCATCAGTTAATTGATGACTGAAGCAGTCATTGAGAAAGCTAGCATCTGCTACACACTACTGGCAATGCATTCAGAGATTTGAGATTAAAGACATGTTGCTCTGATATATTTTATCTTCCTTCTACAGCAAACTGAAAAATTTAAGCTTGAATTATATTAGTTTAGTTATGTACCTTTCCGCACATGCTTAAGGCTTACCCAAGTTCCAAATTAAATTCCCACATATATTTAGGCTTATCTAGTGCCAGCACAGTCTTTGTGGGTCCTAAATTCTGCTGCCAAGCACCTCCCTAAATTCTAAAAAAATTTGCTGCCCCTAAATTCTATGCATTTTGTCATCGCTTAATTTTGTTGCTCAGTGCTTTTCTGAATTCTGAAAATTTTGCCTTTCCTAAATTCTGCCACCCAGTGCTGCATCAGCTTGTGTGCTAATCCCGGGGTTGTCTGGAAAACAAATAGTTTTTCCCAAATCACACAACACTAAACATAATTTTTTGGCCTATCAATATCATTTACAAAATCTAATTTTTGCCTATGAGAAGAAATTTCTGTTAAATTTCTCCTCAACACTTTACAGCACAACAGCTGATGTCTGTAATCCTCACCAATTATAATGTTAATATTTTGTTTTTCTTAGTTAGTTAGCTACCCATCATTCTAATAAATAGAAAGTTACGAAAATAAAGATTAAAATAAGTACTTATATAAATCTAGTAAATAAACACTGTTTACATAGAGATCTTAAACAGATACAAAAAGCAGTGCAACTCAGAATGTAAATTAAAGCAAGACAATACCTAAAAGACTTGCAGATCTTTCTTTTGACTATATTTTTACTATCTGTCAAGTGAAAAGTTCCAAACTGTGCAAGTACACCAACAACAAGTATGAGCTTTATTTTTGGAAAGAATCGACAAGTATATTTTAATTAAAATAAAAAGCAGAGTAATAGAAAAGTATTTTCATGCTTCTTGCAACAAATGTATAAATTTTGCTTGTTACATAAGGATGCATGCGTGTGTATATGCACTAAAAGAGAGATAAGATATACAAAAACCTCTTGATATTTGTATTTCTTTTTCTTGGATGATCTTAATTGTTAAATAATCACTAAATATTTAAATTTTATTTAAATAAATTTATAATTATAGAATAAAAAAATGCAAGTTTTCATACTAGTTACTTTTGTAGCATCATGCTATAAAGTTCTGTTTCAGTAAATGTGCATTTTCAGTTAAAATAGATTATACAAGGATACTGAAAATAACAAACTTATATTTATATTGCTAGAATATTAAGTAATAACATTTTTTAGTTAAAAAAAAATAACTATTTAGTTTTTACTTTTGCATACCAAAGATAAATTATTGATAATTCTTTTCCAATTACATTTCTGACCATGAAGACATAATGCACAATTTTAATAACCAAAATTACATTTGCAGCATTACTTTCCAAATATGTCACAAGAATTAATTTAATAAAGTGAAATTTACTATAAATTTTAAAATACAAATAATTTATTTTGGGGAAATAAGCTTGGCTTTGAGCCTTGAAGCCAAACAATAAATTTTCATTAACTGCATTTGTAAATGTTTAGCACTTTTCGCTGACCCTTTGTTTTATTCAAAAATGAGAGATTTAAAAATTACCAGGTAAATACAGAAATATAAATTCACACATGTGTAAGAATGCACATGGAAAAGTTTTTCATCAACTAAAATATGTTGAACACTAAATTCAACCAGATTTCAGCAAATTTCTATACTTTTGTACTAACATCAAAGCATTAAAATTTATATAACAACATTAATGTGACATATGACAAAAATGTAAAAGCTACAGATCTATACCTCACGGCGCAAGGTATGAATTTTGGTAGGCAGACACATACCAGTCCTTACTTGTCAAACCTCGCATTTGTTCATTCTGTTCTCGTAAGAACTGATTGGTTGCTGTAAGATCAACAACTTGTTTTTTTAGTTCTTCAATTTTATGCAACAACCTGGCATTTTCTTCTTGTAATAAGCGGTAATGTTGTGGGAAAAGCTGATGTGGTTCAGGCATGGCATTTCCCCCACCAAAGGGAGAAAAGTTGTTTTCATATGCCTGTCGTTTCGGTTGTGGTTCACACATACCAAAACCATCAAATTGACGATCATAATTTTCAAACTGCCCTCTTCGGGTATTTATATTATTATTTTCCATGTGATACTGTCCTGCTGTGATATGTCTGAATTTGCAACGACCTCCTCGCTTACATTCTCCTTTTAGGAAATCTTTACAAACTGGAATGCTAGAGATCAACTGCCCTCCTCCTTTCTGTGATACACTCTCCATAATGTGTTCTGCAATATAGCCACTCGAACGATAGATTTCTTCTTCTTGTTTGGTGCAGTGGATAAATCTGCAATTGAGTCTTCGGCATTCTTTATTTTGGAAATCATGACAGAAAATCAGATCTTTCTTACCCAAAGCCTTGGCTTCATCGCCTTCAGGATGTCGAAATTTACAACTGTTGCCTCTGTTGCAAACATTACGCAAATAATCACGGCAAATGCTATCTTTCATATCCCCATTCATACTTGAGTAGCCAGAATAATTTGAATCTTCGTGCATCAGACTGTCTGTCGACATCAACAACTTTATTTCAACAAATTATGAGGCAATTCCTTTCAGAGAAAATACCGTTAGCAATTAATTCCTGTAAGAAAAATTCACAAATATTGAGTAAATTTATTTCTATACAGAAAACATTTGTAAAGCAATATTTTTTTAAATCATGTAATTGAGTAAATACATAACACGTAACATCAGATAAGTGTTTTAAACATAACATTCCAAACATTAACTCGTATCTGATGTCATATATGTTTATAAATTATGTCAAATAAATATATTTTTTTAAATAAAGGTAAAAAGGATTAATATGTTTGTATTTTTTTACATATAGCTTTCAGTTTCATTAATCTGTCATATGCAATGTAATGTTACTTTACTTCATCAACACAGCAACTTGGCGCTATTTTCCTGTTTAAGCCCTACCAGTGAATCTAAATTTACGCACAGGTCCAGAATTTGTCCCCAATGAGCTGTTTTTGTAATAAAGGACAACAGCAATGAAATCAACTTTGCCGCTAAAGCATTCTATTGAACATTTTCAGCTGCTAGGTTGAAAGAGGCATGGAAAAGGCAATGCACATGCTATTCGTTTGGTTAACGCAGAGCTGTCTTCTTCAGAATTCTCAAAAATTTCGTAACACTTCAATAAAGATCTATCGTTACAAAACTGTTACAAACACATTGATGTATATCTTTTGAAAATGACAAAAAACTATGATACATATCCAAATATAATAAACTAGTACAATACGATATAATTCACCAAATAAATGCAGAAAAATTCACAAATATTGAGTAAATTTATTTCTATACAGAAAACATTTGTAAGCAATATTTTTTTAAATCATGTAATTGAGTAACTGACCGCTAACCATGTTTCCATCAAATAATGATGGGCCGTAAACAAATGATCGGGATATCGCACAAAACACGCTGATTTTGGACGAATCTCGTACATGTTCAATAGCTGCATGTGAGTTCTGTAGGCCCCAAATTCGAACACTATGCTTGTTTACATGACCACTAACATGAAAAGTCGCTTCATCACTGAACACAATTCGTTGTGCAAAAGTGTTATTATTGTCAATAGCATCAATAATCTCTTTATCAAATTCTACGTATTTGTCATCAGAACAAATGTAACTTGTACAGCTTCATAACCAACCGATATCTCAAAACACGCCAAATTGTTGTTGTATGAGGTTGTAACTCATAACTGGCAGGATAAGTCAATTTTGAAGGACTACGTTAGAAAGCAGTATGAATTCATGTAACATTTTCATCGGGAACACGAGGGCGGCCAAGACTCTTTCCTTTACATACACATCCTGGACTCTTTCCTACATTACAAACTGTCAATACCATCTGCGAATGTTCTACCCATTCAAAGGATCACTTTGGTACCTCAACTTGAAATGTCTTTTCACTGTAATCACATCATCTGTGTTCGCAAACTCACGAACACAAAATGATTTCTGCTGCGGAGTAGCCATTTTAAACATGTTACGGTTACCACGCAAAACAGAAGACAATTGGCATCTAGCGCCTATTAATATAAACTAGACTATGTATTCGTTTCATCAATAGCTGAGACGAGGCGTAGTGATCAATAGTTTGGACAAAATAACACTTTGTAATACATACATTCTTTTTGAAACATTCTGTATATAACAGTACAATGCTGTTACCTGAGCAAAGTTATGTTACAGTAATTTAAGTTGTTATGCAGAATTTATGTTAACAATTACAATGTTAACATAATTTAGAGTGAAGATACAACATAATTTATAGTGAAGAATAAAGTTTGCACAAATATACAGTAACCCAGTCCACAAATGTACAGTAATACAACAAAAATCCAAAGAACCTATAATTTTAAGACTGACTGACTGACTGACTGACGTTTGTCAATTTTACAGATAAACATGTCTGCTTGCTGTGAGCCAGTAGCCATGTAGTGTCGAAAAACATAATGTTGAAAGTCACTTTCAGACTATTTTAATATTACCTATTAACTTAAGAAGCAAGTAAAGGAGAATATAAAAGCTAAAAATCAAACTTGTCTGCCCAACAGACAGTTTTCACTAAGCCTGTGGGAAAATATAAAAGTATCACTATTGCTCCTTTCAAAATTTCTTAGATGCTCACAAAGAAGAAAAGGCTTTTCTAGGATAGTGAACTGTTAGAAAGAAGCATTTTTAACAGTGCCAGTTAATTCTTTGAGAATTTTCTGATAAATACGACATTATTATTAGCAATTTAAGACTTGCTGCTGTCAGATAACAAACACCTTCACATGAATGCATGCCATTCCAAATAACATTCAAACTCAGCTAAGGAATGACTTATACATATGTGACAGGTTCTCACTACAATTTGACATGTCTACAGATATATCAGACAGTGTTCAGTTAGCAGTTATTATAAGAATGGTAATTAGATTTATATATAGCATTATTTTAATATAGGTATTTTGACACAAAATCGCACTTTTTCTGAAATAACATGGCAATTTTTTTATATATTTCGATTCTGCGGCTCAAATTATGCCAAATTGCCATGTTTTGTAAAAATCGCACGAATAGATTTTAAAGAAATTAGCTCTCAAAATTTTAGCTTCTCAATGTTAATTGAATTTGGTATATATTTATTAATATCTCTTTTTATTAAACGTTTTTAGTTCTTCCTTTCACACTTCGGAATTTAGGTTCATTCCAAATAAAATTCACCCATTTTTTTTACGATTTATTTTAAATAATTTTTGTTATTTTTTGAAAAAAATTTGAATTATATACAATTGTACCATCATATTAAAGTAGATATATTTTTAAGCATACCCTGCAAAAAATTACAGATTTTTTATTCAAAATTTTTTAAGATATACATGAATTTACATATTGGAACGTTTTGAAATTTGGCATCTTTTTTTTTTTTTTTTAGCAATTATAGTGCCAAATGTGGTTATGGATTTTGTTAAGTGAATTACTACAGCTATTTTTAATCTTAAATTTCAAATAAATTTTACGGAAAATTACTTATATGGAATTTTTTCCCTCATAATGCATAACAAATATTTATTAATACTATATGAAAAGCTATTTTTGTTAAAATTTATACACGATATTGTTCAAATTTTTAACCTTTTTTTTTTAATTTTTTCTTTCCACCTTTTTTTTTTTTTAAGCATTTGTAAGAGTAAATTTTTACATTTGCCGTGTTATCGTCTGTTACTTTACTTTAACTTCATTTAAATCGAATTGTCTAAAAAAAAAAAAAAAAATGATGCACCTTTTATTAAACTATGCAGTTCAAATTAGTAAATAGAAATTTTTAAAAC